AACTTGTGTCCGGCGTCAAAATGGGGGGGGGGGACCCTTGATTTTTTGTCCCCCCCCCATTGCCAGGTGAAAGCATATTTTTGTTCTTCTGTGCTCTGATTTGTTCCAGTGCAGGATCTGTGCTTGAGAAACCTTGTGTGCTGATCCATGCATTTTATGGATGTATATTATTAGATGACATTTCCTTATAAGCATTTTCTGCTGGACAGAATCTATCCATATATTATTCCTGCTCTTGTTCTGTGTTCTCTGGATATTAACATTTCTATGTTCTGCCTTTTAATTTTCTTTTAAAATGCTATCATTTCTACACCATGGTGCAAAAAATGAAAAGTAATTGTTTTTAATTTCAAAAAAAATTAAGCCAAAATATGAAGATTTGAGAACAGTAGATGTGTTTTTAAAAAATACAGGGAAGAGAGGTGAACTTGGGGACAGAATGGAGAAGATGCAAGCTGTTCTTGCATTCTGCTTTATAATTTTTAAAACTGGAATCACTTTTCCACTATAGCAAAAAAGGAAGGGTTAATTTTTTAAAAATTGGAAGCATGGGGGCAACAACCTGATGGGAGGTGAGAGGGCAGTAGTCAGGGAGAGGGCAAAGAAAATACCAGATCTTTCTGCATTCCACTGCTTTTTTTAAAAAAAAAAATCATTTTTGCACTATAGCACAACATTTTTCAACTGTATTTTTCCAGCTGAAAAATAAGCATAATGATATTAGAGAGCCTTGTTGCAAAAACATGAACGTTTGGTTGGGAAACCAAGGCAGACAAAACAAGGAGGAGAGGGGAAGGAAAATGAAGTAGGAGATGGAGAAAGCAGGAAAAAGAAGACGGCAACTCATGATGGGAGTGAGACCAGTATGGATGGACTCAAGTTGTAAGCAGAAATTATGATTTAGCTACGGTACTTTGTTAGTTAGGCATCCTTCAGTCCCGAAAGACTATGGTAATGTGCTCTGTATGGAGGTCTTGGAACAGCGTCTAGTGTGGCTGAGGAGGCCAATTCGAGAGTGAAGCTACTTTGTACCTTCTCAAGTAAAGTTATTTTTACCCCCTTTCCCTTCTACTTGTTGTTCCCTTTGCTGTGAGGATAGAAAAAGCTACTGAATAACTTTTCCGCGCATTATCTTGATATAGAGCCAAGGAATCACCAAATTTGCACTGAGCTGATCTGCCAAACTTTTGGGCTCAGAGTGGGGCATGAGAAAATGAAGGAAGCCCGTTAGTTAGGAGTCCAGTGTAACTTTTATGCATACAGGCTTTGGGCTTGAAATTTCTACAACTCACAGAAAGAAGACAGGAATCAGACATGCTGGTTTCAAAGTTCAGGGGTGTGGGGGTGAGATTAAATTTGGCATGACCCATTGGAGATTCTTTTCTTGCAGTGCCCTTTGGCTGGGTGTTTTGTACTTCCAAGTGGCAGAAGATGAAGTATTTGACTTCTTTCACTCCCCAAATTATCTTCTTTTTTGGAAATTATAATGTAGATCTTCTCTTACTCTTTGCTCTCCAATTAATGCAGTCCTTATTTATAAATCCTTTTAATAATCTTTTCAGGATTAGTTTCCTAATATGTACATATAAAGCTGCCAACTCAATCTGCACAACATACAAAAATTGTGCAATAGCTTTCTTTACCAGTGGAATATCCTCTCAACAAAGTTATGGAAGATTGCCATCTAGATGTCGCTCTTGAGAAAAGGGGAAGAACACCATACCAAACACTTTTCCTTTCTCTCAGCAGATAAACTGATTTTTAATTCCTGCTTTGTACAGTCTTGTGGCTCCTCCAGCTAAAGAATTTGCACCCCTTCCCCCTTTTGCTGCTCCATGTCAGAAGAGTGCACAGTTTACCGGGATTCACTTCCAAACAAAGCTACTTCACTTAATGAAATCTTTAAAGAAAATAAAATTAAATTCATGCTGCTGTTGCAGGTTCTCTACCTTTTTTAAAAAATAGAAAGAAGTATTAGTTAGAAATATGTAAATTGTTACAGGAAAACTGTGAAGGGGATTATTCACCTGTATTGATTGTGAACCGGGTAGATGGGGCCGTCAGCCTTGGAAGACAGCCCATCTAGGAGAAGGAAAACTCTGATTTAAAACCTCCACTGCCTTGTGGCTATATCCACTGATAGAAAAGGCTTCAGGAGTAAACCTTGAGGCAAAATCCGGAGCTGGAGTCCCGGAG